GATTGTCAGTAAAATAAATTACTAATTTTTTTACTTACATATCTATTGCACTAATAATATCTAACTACATATACATCGTGTTAGATAATAATAAACCTTTGTCATTTATTTGTCATTTATGATGTCATTTATAAAATAATTTTAATGATTTGTCATTTTGCCAAGACTTAATACAATTTTTTTTTAGGAAAAATGACATTGTCAATTTAAAATGACATGTCATTTATGATCATTTTCATAAAAATTTTTATGACCTTGTCATTTGCCAACACTGACCATAACCATACCCACCCCTAGTCTAAGTCTTTAAAATTTACCTCGTATATTCTTATAATTAACAAGCTTAGAGTTTTTTTGGTGCACTGAAATATGGTCACGTGTTAGCATTTTTTGAATGCGATACTGAAATTTGTTAGTTATTACCCACTTCGTAACATCCTATTTTTTTTTAATTATGATCACTAAATGATTTAAATATTAATCAGATAGAACATAATCATTATCTAATTCTTTAGCCAATTTGGATAAAATCAAAACATCATTAGTGTGAAACTTGAATGCACAAAATAATGAATGAGGCTCTTTTTAAAAAAAGATTGAATTTTTATTCTAGTAAATTTATAATATACATTTATTCAAGTAATAAATTAATAGTAATTTCCCAAAAATAAAAGGTGTTATTTTTCTGGTGAATGTTATATTAAAGAGAGGAGTTTAAATAACAAACATAAATTTGCTTTATTGAAATAATCATATCTTTTGAATAATAAATAAAGTACGCACGCCTATATGGCGTCTCAGAGAGGGAAAAAATAATATCTTAAAATCTAAATGGATTACCTCCTATATGTATGTTAATTTCTACATTCTTATCACTATCAGCTGTAGCACTAGCATAAATCCAAGAATTAAGGAAACGCGAATGTGTAGTACCATTTGTTAAATTGATTATTTCTTTACCTACTTTTTTATTCATCACATCATCTAAAGAATCGTTTTTTGCACATTCGTACACTAATAATCTGGATGTATCATCGTTATTAATGGCTATACAGAAGGCACTTTCAGACCATCCAGTGCAATATAGATCTTTGGCACTCCAGAATCTCATTTGAGCGCTTAGACGATTGAATTTTTCAGATTTGCACATATATGTTGCAGAAGTCTGCATCATAATAGTTGGTTGTATAACATTTAAATCAGAGTTTCCATAGTCACACAAATATAAACCTCCTTGCGAAAAATTGCTAATAACTAGTTTGACATAATAAAATTTATTTGGCTTAATAGTCACTACGTAATTTGGTTCTTGTATTTGACTACTCATAATTTCGAGTTTTTTATTTCAGCAAAGTGTTTTATCTTTTTCTCTTGATGATTTACAAAGGGTATTTAACTATAATTTTCTGATAAAAAGTTTTAATAGTTAAGCTAAATAAGGTCAGAAGGATTATGGTCTTTGTTTAGTCTAAGCTGTTAGGGCTATTCGTCGTTACGTACGTACTGTGCGGGAAATTTAAAAACCTCAATATTTCTATGTAGAATGTATAAACTAGTAGCGCACCGAAAATAAAATTTCCTAAATTATCGATCTAAATAAACAAAGGGTCTAGAACTCTCAATCTTTTCGCACAAAAACAATAAGCAAAGAACAATATGTATGTAATAGCATGCTACTGAGAATGACAAATTTAGTTTATCTCCAATGTGTTAATTAACCTTTATTCAATATGAAGTTTTTTAGATTTCCTGCACCTGGTGCAGGATATTTTAAAAATCTCAATCTCTTTATAAAGATAATGCATAAATCGGCAGCATATCAAAATAAATGTCCTAAATTATCAATCTCAATAAAGCGAAGAGTCTAGAATTTTCCAATCCGCTTACATAATAACAATACGCCAGAATAATATGTACTAAATAACAACTGGTCTATGCATACACTCTGAAATTGCTATTGAGAATGCAAATTTATCAAATGAGTCAGCTGAACTTTATCTATCTATTTTTACCATCTAATTCTGAGTTCGTCCGTTTAAACGCTTTTGATTGGTTACCTGCGCATTACGACATTCATCATCTGAAATCATGATTGTTAAATCTGGAGGTTTAAATCGATATAAAATTAAAATTCACGTGAAGCATATAAATTACTACCGATCGTCCGCATGATGTTGATAACTATCGCGACATTCTCATTTATCAGTATGATTATCAAATTTGTAATTACGATACAATATTCCTAATTAAAATGTTATCCCTTAAACCGTTTGAAAATCATGCCAAATTTGGCCTAAATTTTACTATAAAAATACTTCTGATCTATTTTTT